ACCAACAGTCTCGGCCATCAACGCCAATCCCCATCTTCCATCCTTATCACTGTGTATCAGGCGGCGAATCCTCTGTGCCCTTCCTTCTTCCATAACAGTATATCAGGTGGAAACTCTTCTTTACCCTTCCTTCTTCCATCACTGTGTACCAGGTGGAAAAGCCTTCTGTGCCCTTCCTTCCCCCGTCACTGCGTATCAGGCGGCAACTCCTCCGTTCCCTCTCCTCTGCCATCACTGCGTATCGGGCGGCAACTCCTCCGCCTCCATCCCCTCAGCCCCCGTCCCTAAAGTCCCCCTCACCCACGCAGCAACCCGCCCCACCCTTTCCCCCTCCTCCCCCTCCCACTCCCCCAGAACCAACCCCTCCCGTCCAAGCACCCTAACCTCCGTACCCCCCACCCCATATCGACCCCACAATCCACCGCCGGCCACACTCCTCCCCCCCACCACACCTCTATAAACAACCAGCACAACCCGCTGCACAACCAGCACATCCCGCGGCCTAACGCGGTTTAGCTGGCTCTCCAGCGCGCTTCCAGCGGAGTAGAAGAAGGCGATGCGGAAGGGGGATGCCGTGTGGTCGCCGCTGAGGAGTTCGCGGATGAACTGGTTTTGGGGAAGGGGGCGGGGGGGGGAGAGGGATATGCAGCCGAGGAGGAGGGTTGTGGGCATGAGTCGGGGGAGGATTTCGGTTAGGATGGGAGCGGGGGGGAGGGTGGATAGGGGGGTTGTGGGGGGGAGATAGGCTGGGGGAGAGGGGGAGGAGGTGAGGGTGGAGGGTGAGGGCTGGGTGGAGGAGAAGGAGGAGAGGGTGTGGGTTGTGCTTTCGGTTTGGGTTGAGGGGGCGGGGAGGGAGATGCTTCGCTGGAAGGGTGGAGTGAAGGAGGGGGCTTGATGTTGAAGGGAAGGCTGGAATGGGGATATGATTCGCCATTTTGGTCGGGGGGTTGATGGTTGGCTTTGAGATGACGGTGCGGCTGTACAGTCGAGGAATCGCCGGATTGCGGGGACGAAGGTCGTGTAGAGATCGGCTTCCGGCGTGGAGGCTAAGGATAAGGCTGATGGAGCGCCGGTTAAGAGTGTGAGGGGCATCGTGAACGAAAGCTGTAGAAGCCGGTTAGCATATATTGAAGTCATACCGCACGAAACGAACGAATTTGCCATGTTTTGAAGCTGCGCAGCTTCTTCCCTCATCGACTCGAGCCGTGGCCTTATGGTGGTCGCGCCATTGAAGCTCGTGCAAGTCCAAAGCGAACGGAAAAGAAAGTCGGATTTATAGATAACTCCGCAAGCACTTGCATCCCAATAGGGAAATCCGCGATGATGCCTTGGACGTTGTTGCATCTGGCAAGCCCCGCTCATGCAAGCCCCAGCTTAGCCCCGCCCACAAATCCGAAACAAGCAACACATGCCGCGCGTCCAGATCGTCTAGGCAACGACAAGCAGCACTGCATGCACACCGACCGAGGTGAGGAATATGCAAACTGCCGTCCCTCCCGGCCGCACTCTACATGTCGCGCCGCCATTCGTCACGGCCCGAATGCGCGGCCTCTCTTATCGCCGAATCGCCGACTAGGCAGCAAAATTATCAGATTGCATGACCCCCGCACCAATCATCAAGCACGGAACCCTTCCGCCTTTTTGATCTGATAAGACCTCATCGCCGCGACGTCACTCCCTCATTTTATACCGCCTCGTCACACTCTCAATTCACCCAGCTTTCCCCTCGAGCTCCACGGCCACCATGCCGTTCCAATCCCTCCTATCCCGCATTCGCGGGAAGGATGAAACGCTCCACGCGAATGACTTCCGCAAAGCACCGACACCGGCCGCGCTATTCACGCCTACGGACCCAGCGACGGATGGCGAGGACTGCAGCCATGACTGCGCGAGCTGCACGATCCGGTACCCTTCTAAGTTCCCCGTCGATCAGGATGAGGTGCTCTTTGGGCGCGTGAATGGGTGGAGCGCGCATGTCGTCGTTGCGACGGGGAAGAATGACTGGGTACTTCCATCCCCCCCCTCCCCCTTCATTGCCAGCTAACCCCCCGCGTGCAGGTCCGCGACGTGGCCGACGAAAAAGGCTCGATAATGCAAGCCCTCTCCAAGGCCTCCCCACCCCCAAAACACCCCCTCAAAGTGTCCGCGTCAGACATGCCCGTCCCCTCCTCCATGGACGCGAGCGCAACAACCATCCTCCTCCTCCCCGCCTTCGTCCTCCTCGACAACGTAACCCCCTCCTCCACACAAACCCTCGTCTCCATAATCGACTCCGCCCCCCAAACCACCTCCCCCCTGCACACGCACGGGCTCAGCATCCCACGCTCCCTGCACGGAATCAGCATCCGCGCATGTCCGCACGAGGCCGTTATCCTCCTGTGCAGCCAGCGGACGCGCGATGTGCGGTGCGGGCAGAGCGCGCCGTTGCTTAGGCGGGAGTTTGAAAGGCATTTGAGGCCGCGGGGGTTGGCGAGGGATTTACATGATGAACGGCCGGGGGGGGTTGGGATTTATTTTATTAGTCATGTGGGGGGGCATAAGTTTGCGGCGAATGTTATTGTGTATCGCAGGGCGGGGGCGTTTGGGGAGAGGAAGGTGGAGGGGGAGAAGACAGTGGAGAATGGGGAAGCGGATGCCACGGCGGGAGAAGGGGAGGAGAAAGAGGACCCGCGAAATGGGGAGGCAGCTGGCACGGACGAGAAGATTGACGATGCTGGCGCCGGGCAGTGCATCTGGCTCGCGCGCGTGCGGCCCGAGGACTGCGAAAACATTGTGCGGTATACGGTCATGCAGGGCAAGGTGGTCAAGCCGGACACGCAGCTGCGCGGCGGCTTTGACCGAGAAAAGGGACTGGTGAGCTGGTGAGCAGTTGTCTGGTTACAGGGTTGTGCGTTTCATAGATCGCTGGCCGCGTGCATGGTTTTGCGGCCGCGTAGATATACCTATATGTTTTGCTTCGTTATGGAATATAAATGGGTTATGGACGGCGTGATTGACACTGAGTAATTCTGATCATGGCGTTCGGTACTGGAAACATCGATGGCCATAGCATGAAGAGCGTGTCTTGATTTCAAAGGATTTCAGTCCTGTTCATTTCATTGAATCTGTATGAACATCGAACTTAGAAGAAGGTCGCCGTGGTCGTCCAGTCGTTATCGCCATCCCGCCGAAATAACCGAAACGCCGTACCGATGCTGAGTCGAACCACCGATTCTTTGAACGCCCTGCATCAAGAGTTGAGTTAGGCCTACAAGATAGGGCGGAGATATACTCACCTGCTAGAACTAGTATCCTTGCCTGTTGTACACGACCTCATCTGGAGACACATACTCTGAACGCATCAGTTAACGCATAAATCGACTACCAGACCCACCAATGCTCATGGCACACGACTCCACTAAGCCCTCGAAGCGTTGATCGCTCAGCAGCAGCAGCTCCGGGATGCTGAGTTCCAGCGGACTGAAGGTCCACTTCTTGCGCTGACGGGAGAGGGTGACGGGCTGAAGGCGCTGGAGCGAGGCAATGATGGCCTGCTTTCTCGCGATGGCGGTGGAGAGTGTCGCCAGGAAGGGGTGCGTGCGGGTGGAGTGATTGAAGCGAGCCATTTCCGTAATGCTGTCGTGGGAGTATGGAAATGTTGTTGTGGATTTGTGGATGGAGTTGTGTGGGGAGGTGAGTGTCGGTTGCAGAAGTCAAGGAGATTGCTGCTATGGGTGTACGTGTTGGTGTTTTGTTGATGTGTTGTGAACGCGCGTGGTGTCTACCGCAAAAGCGGCAGGAGCCAGCACTCGGGTCCAAACTTCCTGAGCGCGCTGGAAGGCGCGCTTGCCTGCATATGTGAGGACGGCGCGACGGAGACTCACGACACCGACCCGGCTGTACCCTCTCGCGGAGGTGGAGTTTGGTGGGGGCGACTACGCGGTCCGATCCACTGAGGGCTAGACCCTTTGGGGTCGGGAGATGGGATATTGGGTGAGTGACTGATGGTGAACCCGGTTTGGTGTTGAGATGCCAGATCTTTTGCCTATGCGGCTGGAGGTCGTGGTTGCGGCTTTGCTTTTCGGCTCGCCGAGGAGGCTACATGCTCCGGCATCGCCATTGTCCGCTCCAGCTGGCATCAGACATCGTGAACAGAACATATGTCCAGTTGCTGCAACCGTCTAAGTCCAAGGTACCGTGGATGCGCCTAGCGCTAGCTCCCGGAGCATCAGCAGATGGACCTAGCAGACCCTCGAAGCTTCCTCCTGTTGCCCACCGTAAGCATCGTCTGGTCGCCCCAGCCTGGACGTGAAGTCGGTCCACCGAGTGCGCTTGGCGGCCGACGTCGGCGGCGACGAGAACCTCGTCATCCACGGTCAGCAAGGTGCGACATGCCACTTTGACTCCCGATGCCGACCCTTTGACTGTTGTGCCGTTGATGGCCCCGATATTGCCTATCACCATCTCGGCAACGGATCGGAAGGGAGGTGAAAGGGAGAAGAGTGCTCCGCACTACCGTGGTTACAGGATGAAGGCGTGGAGATGAATAGCTTCCTTCTTTCAACTTTGGCTGACGTAGAATTGAAATCAAATCCTGTTGCTTATAACCGGTGTGCGATCCGCCTCCTTCTTGTGCACCACGTGCCTTCTCGTCCACTCCTCCTTGCTGCGCGATAGCTCGACTACATCTCTTCCCATGTGACTTTCAATTGTCGGTGTGGCCGGCTAGCATATGAGGTTCGTGATATCTGAGTCTCGGCATTGATGGAATCGGCCTGGAAGGAACATCCGTCAATAATCCCAACGAACATCGACGATCCATCAACTTATGGCGAAAGAGAGTCCATGATTTGAGCTGGGAGATTCCGTGACTGAATTGGGGTTCCTTTCCCAGCTTAAGCGTATTTCAAATCTTTAGGAATTTGTGCACTCGCTGGACTTCACCGACTTTGACTGAAAGCCGATTTTGAAAATTGCATCTGCTATATCAATTACTAACCACCAAATTTAGTATCAAATCAGGGCGTGTGGTCTAGGGGTATGATTTTCGCTTCGCATCAGCTGCGTAACCTGTGAAAGGTCGAGGGTTCAATTCCCTCCGCGTCCATCCTTTTTGCATACGAGTATTATCCAGGCCCCACCGCCTCATCTCCAATTTTTTCACCCGTCCCGTACGGAGTATTCTCTGTAGCCATGTCCCGATGCCGCACACCAAAGCACCCACATTTTTTCCCCCATCGATCTCCCACACCGCCCGCCCTACCGTCAACGCCTCTCCGGGCGAACAACATTCGGAAGACAACGTGCGCAAGGCAGGGTGGCACGGCATTAGCGAAGCCGCAGGACGCAGGACGCAAGATGCAGGACAGAAACATTCCACAGCAAGCCGGACCGGATGCTGTCGATTAATCCTCCGATGCGCGGCGCCGTTGCGCCACATAGAAGATAAAGAATCCTCCGACGCGACGCCATGGCGCCACCAGCGCCCAGGACAATGCGGCTGGCTGGCGGCCGGCTGGTGGATGGCGCGCGCCATTGGCGACGGCTAGGCTGAGGGTTCAGCCTTGTTTGACAAGACGGCGGATATAATGGCTTTGTTGAGCGTAATGTACTCGGTGCGCTGGGGGGGGAGGGGCAGTTTTGCAAGGCTGTCAGTGTGTCGGGTTGAGCGGTCTCCGCACGTAACCCGGGGTGCGGTGCGGTGCGGGGCGGGGAGGCTGGGGTAGGGTATTGAGATTGAGGGGTGGGTTTGGAGGAAGGGTAGGGGGGTCGGGATCAGTATTGCTGGAGTGGTCATTTGGAGATATGGAATTATGTAGGAGCGAAGTAATGAGATAGAGGATACTGTGCGGTACGATCCGCGATCCTTGCGATAGCTTCAGTTCGACACCAGGAACAGGCGCTGCGCTGCGACCTACCGGCCGCCACCCGAACGGCACATCGAAGGGCACGGTGCACGGCTGGCGGTAAGCGGGGTGGGTTGTATTCCCCGCCTGCGGGTGCGAGATGGCGGAGGTAACGTTAGCGTTCAAGTACAGCTGCATCTGCATTTGCATTTGCATTTGCATTTGCATTACGTGCGGGTGCATTTGCATTTGCACTGCGCGAGGGTGCATTGCAGGTCAGACGGTGTACTATACCAGTACATCCGTAGGTTCAATAGCTTCGGCACTCCCCCTCGGCGTCCTTGGTCATCTCCTACAAAGCCGAGAGGAGCAGGAGCGCTGCGAGTCAAGCCGCCAGGTACCTGTTAAAGGCATGAGGAGCGGGGACGGGGGTGGTGGATGAGGATGGGGGATCCATGTTGTACTTCTCGGCGCGCGGTGACGGGCTGATCCCAGGGGATGAGAACTGGTTGGTGGTTGCGCTGGGGCCTTGGACGCTGACGATGAAGTCGTGCGCGCGCCGGGGCGATGACGGCGGGCAAGAGATCGCGCGTCATACATCGCGATCGCGCAAGTTGCATTCGCAAGTCTCCACTCGCTCTCCCACAAGGCAAAACACTTGCCGATCCCCTCCCCCAAAAACGCCATGCCATCATCCCCCCCTCTCCCTCGGCAACGTCCAACCCCGCGCTCACCAACCCGCCATCACCAGCACCTCCACCAAAATCCAAATTACACCCCCAAAAAGCCCCAATGTAGCACTCCGTCGCAAGCCTTCCATCCAATCATCCTCTTCCCACACCCCTCCATGCCATCCCCGCCCACCCGGCCATGTACCACGGCGTAGAGCTCGAATAGGCGTGCGCAGGCCGTGCCCAGACCGGGGGCTGGGGTATGCCCACCGGGACGGGCTGATCGCCCTTGCGGTAGCGTCGGCGGGCGCGAGTGGGCGGGCGGAGCATATATGGCGGGCATATCCCGCCCCGGGGAATTTTGGGAATCCGAGTGCGCGGGGCTGATAACCTTATGTGTTTTGGGATCTCCGTTTGGCCGCGTGTTTTGGTGTTTCGTGGTCTCACCGTTTACCTCCTGCCCTTTGCCTTCGTAACCTGATGGTGGTTGTGGCTGCGACTTGTTGAGAGGTGGAGGATTTTGACGATTTGTTTTGTGTGGACGAGAAGCAAGATGGCTGTGGACGCGGATGGTGATGTCGGGAAGCCGAAGGACCCGCATGGGCTGGTGCTTGAGGCGTGGGCGCAGGGGTACATGGTCGGTTCGCTGGTGATTATGGCGGGGGTTACGGTGGCGAATATGCGCAAAGGGCGGCTGCTTCACAAGTTGATTCTGATCGAGGTATGCAAAATGGCCGCGCTCACCTTTCCGTGCAGATAAATGGACTGATGCACGATGCGCAGCTCATCCTCGGCATGCCGCACGGCACCTTCATCTTCCCCGATCCGCCGACGTATGGCTGGTACCTCAGCGTCACGGCCATCTTCCTCAACATCAGCTGGGTGATGCACAACATCGTCGCGTGGATGAAGAACAAACCCTTCCTCAGCCGTACCGTCAGTACCATCTACATCACCACTGTCATCCTGAGCGTCGGCTTCTGGGTCACCGAAATCTACGCCAACTTCACCTACTTCAATAACATCAACCGCCTCTTCCACTACACCCGGCCGTACGAAGCCCTCTTCCGCGACCCCTGGTGGATTTTTACGACTCTCAACGTCTTCTGGAACATAAAAACCCGCTACGAATTCGGCCTCCTCGAACTCATCCGCGTCTCCCCACGCTTCGGCATTTTGCTGACGGCCATGACCCTCTCCCTCGCCTTTATAATCATCGACATCCTCTCCGTAACCGCCGTCTTCCGCTCCTCCCTCCCGGAGGGCATAAACCCCTTCTGGAAACTCGCCTTCGTCTTCAAGTGCCTGACCGACACCATCATCCTGGACGACTTCAAGACCGCGCTCGACCGCCTCAAGCACCACCACCTCGCTCGCCTCGGCTCCACCGCTCTCTCTCTGGATCCGGATAACGACATCGACGGCCCGCCGACTTTTGTGCGTCCTTCCCGTCCCTCGGCGACGTCTGCGAAGCCAACCTGGCACGCCTCCCCCTCGCCCTCCGCACCCGCGCATCGCGATCTCGAAGCCGCGACGGCGGGCGGGGATACGCCGTGGGATACGCCCGAGGGCCCGCATTGGACGAATGGCTGGCGCGGCGCGCAGTGGCCGCAGCGGGGGCGCGATGCACCGACCAGTGCCCTGGGCAGCAGGTCACGCAGCGAAGTCAGGCGCGAGAGCGGGTGAACGGACGCGTGAGGGGCTGAGCAAAACGCAACAGCGGGTGAAAAGCCAAAGCGAAGGTTCTTGCGGAGATGAAGTGGAGGCCCGAGCCGGTATTCTCGACGTGGTACAGATATTTTCGACGATGCGTGGCAAATGCCCGAGCTGAGACCTGTGCGACGCGATGGGCTGCGCTGTGCGACCTTGGACCGGTGGGAGGGGTGCGGCGCGGACGTGAAAATGTGAGGAGGGGATGAGGCGGAGGTGGTCGTGGTCGCGAAGGGGGTGTGCTAGGCTTGAGAGAGAGGCGGCTTCGCTCTCGCCGTCGGTGTGGGCCTGGTCGGCATCTGCTCCATGCCGCGTACGAGTCAAATGCTGAGAATTTCCCAGAACAGTCTGCCGCGAGGCATGACGGGACAGTGTGAAGAGAAGAGCGGCAGTGTCATGGTCGTCGTCGGTGTAGTCGGTTGATCTGGGGATCTTGGAGAGTGGACTGAAGAGGATTCTTGGGATGCTTGGATGTAGTCGGAGTGGAGGGAGTCCCGCTCATGCAGACTGAAGTACACCAAGCGTGAATAGACTATGTACAGCATGCCTGTTCATGTGGACGAATTTATAGTAGCCTCTACAGCATATGCGGAGTCGATCATGCAGTCTTCGCGAAAGCAAGGTTGATTGATTGACGGGACGAACGTCCACGATCGGTTGATTGAGCGGACTCGACTTGTCCCAAATGCTTCATATCAGTCTAATAGACTCGTGAAAGCGTCGTGGGCGTTTAAATGGGACGGTTGTTGATTCTAACTTGGTATCAAAGCAAGTGCTCTGAACCTGAAAAGAGGATGTCAGTGATGTAAACCTCAGGCAGGCGTATCTTATCGTCAGAAGGAACACCCTTATTTCAGGGCATGTACGCACCGGCATCGGAGGGACACTCTTCGAGGAAGAGACGGGACGACGATGGCAAGTGCGAAGATAGGTACACTCCTTCCTGACATAACAGTGCTCCTGCGCCATGTCTGCGTCACCTGCGGGCAAGGATCAACTTCATCAAGCGAAACAACATGAACAGCATCACATCCCTCACGTGCATATAAAAAGACAGTATTTGCTACAGTATTTTGATGCCGGCTAAAGTGCCGTCCCTAGCCAGCGTATGTCCACAGTCCAGGCGTATGTCCATAGTCCAGGCGTATGTCCATAGTCCAGGCGTATGTCCAGAGTCCAAAGATGATCCTACCACCTCGACTCCTCATCAATAATCTCACACAGCGCCCTCCCACACGACTCCTCAACCTCCTGCCCATCCCTTCCCACAAGCACCGGCTGATCATCATTGAACGCATTTTTCAAATGCCCGACCTTGCTGAAATGCGTATCGCGCTTGCGGATCCAGTGTACCTTAAACGGAGCGGAAGCGGGCCATCTTAGCTCGTTTACCCAGCTGGGCGGCGTTGCTGCCCCGGGAGCGGAATCCATTCTGGCCTGCGCATCGTCAGCATACGCACTTCCGGTTCAGAAACGTACATAGCCCTGGAACGTAGCGCTCTTATTCACGGAAAAGAAGAGGATGACATTGCGACTGTTGCGGTACGCATCCGCGAACATCCCCTCGTTGGCCGCCTGTGTAACCCAAGAGCCCTCGCGCATCGCAATATCAACATTCTCATGGTTCCACGACTTGATGATGAAGTAGCGCGCTGTGCCATCAGCGAGAGTACGAAAGTCCTAAAGCATCAACTGACCATCGTCATGGAGGCTGTTGAACGGCACGGGCGAGACATCGCGCCCGCCTCCGCCGCGGAGCGAACCACCGCGGCCACGGCCACGGCCACGACCACGGCCATAGTCAAAGCGTTCACGCTCTGGCGAGTGCGGCGCAAAGCGGCCATACGCACGACCACCCGGAGACGGCGACCGGCGATATG